GATCTACTTCTCTCCAGAGAGTCGTCCTAATTGTTACGTGTATGTCACGGCAACAATACGATCCTCGCAAGAGCATGCCGGCCCTAACGATCAGCTGACGAGCGCGGCATTATTACCGATCGTCCTAGATAGTTCATGCTACGACCCTAATTCGCCACTTGAATCGCGATACGAATACCCGACGACCATCCGAGAATTTATTATAACGCTTAGCCCGCACGTGCTTCTCTGCACAGATTATGAGATCGGATCGCACTTCCGTTCACGGCCGAACCTGCGGCTCGAGCTCCGGTGATTTAGGTGACGGGTCGGAAACATTAGGTCACACCTATCATCGACTGATAGCGACGACTCCGAGGAACGCGTGTCAGCATACTTATCGAAGTTCACGCTGGGTACTCACGTCCTACGTTGATTGATGTATATGCCGTAAGTTCTTAAAGTTGTGATAAACTTGAGCTCAAGCTTCTCAAGCTATCAAAGTTTACAGCAAATTAGTTTTTACACACATAATCTTCCGCAGAGTACGGTATTACGAGCGGTAATTTTTTATTCTTCTATATGTTATACCGAATTGGTTTTGAGTAAATAATTAGCAATAATTTTTATAATGGTATATGTAACAGTCAAAGTGTTAACTCAGTAAGTACGTAATACACTTACTGCAGTTTGCTGTAGTCAATGTATATAATATTTACTATACGTAAATATATACATTGATTTGTAAGTATATGCATTTATTGACAAACTTTTAACACTTTGACTGTGCCATAAAACGCTAAAAAAATTTACTAAATTTTAATAAATATTTGTTTAAATTGTACTAACTAAACACTTGCTTTATATAGACTTGCAATAAAGAAATATTTATCAATTAAAAAATAATACTTAAATTACAAATTAACGATTTTTATATCAAATAAATATGTTTATACTGAGTAAATATTTAGTTAATATTATTTCAATAAATATTCATTAAAATTTAGAATATTTTTTTCAGTGTAATATTTTAGGAAGTGAAGATATCTTTTTCTATAAAATGTGTATATTATATTTTGAAAAATACATTTTCTTAATTAGGTAAATTTTATTTTTATAATCTAATTACATTTAATTTTTGTCCTTTTATATAGTACGTATACATACACAGCATGAAAAAATAAAATAATATGAATAATATATGTACATATAGGAGGGATGTGTTCTAAGTACGCTAAAAGATTTTAAGGAATGATTCTTTCTCCTCAAATACACACACACACACACTATACACAAATTCGAGATGAAAACTTCATATAACCATATGTCGATATCGACGAAAAGACTTAGTTTTGAAGATAGTATATGGTGTCAAAAAAAAATTCGAAAATCATTCGGGTTATATATTTTGATGAAACTTTATATTTTAAAAGACATGACGCCTCATCTTTTGAAACTATATATTATTTCTTTATTTAATCAGGGACGTATCCAAGGATAAGCGAGTAATTATTTTTACGAAAAAAATTGAAATGCCACTGAGTTTTCTTAGGTTTGAAATTTTTTGATAATAAATAGGATAAATCAACAGAAAAAAAAGACCTCTTTAATATCGTCGATAAAATATGTCATTTCGGAGATCATTGCCTTTTAATCAAATAAAACAATTTTGCAATATATTTAACAAATTCAAATTTTTTTTTCGGAAATGGTTCTATCGAAAATATTAAAGAGACCTATAAAATTTTATCAAAATATCCCGAACATCATGTATCTTTAAAACTAAGTCGGTTTCGGTCATATGAAGTTTTCATCTTGAATTTGTGTGAAAAATCACCTTTAAGATCTTTTAACGTACTTAGAGCCCATCCTGAATATGCATTTAAGAAACCATTTCAGAATAAAATGTTTCAGACGAAAGTTGTATCGTCTCAAGAAAGAATAATGATAATGAAATTCTTGTAAATTTTTGAAAAAATCAATTTTTCAAGATTACAAAAAAATCATCGCTGTCTCTTTAAATAGAATTACATATAATTTGTTTCTCTAATTATTCTATATATCTGTATACAAAAGTATTGAAGTAGAGTTACCAAAAAATCGTGGATTGAGCAGGAAAACTCTCGAATCCCTACACCATCCAAGGCAGAAACATTGTAGACGATTTCATCTACTGAAGTGGGTAATAATAGAAGCTGCATCCCTGAGATTAAGCGAAGAATGGCTAAAGACATCGGTGACTATAGGCTTGCGAACATCTGAAGAGATCAGGGAGTCTTTGACAGAACAGAAATACCTTGTTCGAACCTTGATCTTTTCTATATTTTTCTACGAAGTGGAGACATCCGAGCAAGAGAGAGAAAGGATCGACGCGTTTGAAATGTGGTTTGAGCGAATGCTGCGGATTCCATGGACCGTCAGATGTACCAATGACGTATTCATCCTTTCAGAGCTTGGAATAAAAGATCGAATATCACTGTATGCCACAAACGCATACTATCTCATTTCGACCACATAATCAGACGTGAAGACGACAGTCTTGAAAAATTGATAATCATTGGCAATGTCGAAGGAAAAAGAACATGAGACCTATCCCCAACTAAATGGATAGATCAACTAAAAAAAAATAACTTTTCCATCACGATGAAGATAGCCACGGACAGAAATCGATGGAGACAATTCGTACGCTTTTAAATGGTTACATCAAATGGAGATTACGATCTTTAGTTATGAAGGACCGACTTGAGAGAGAGAGAGAGAGAGAGAGAGAGAGATAAAAATAAATGTTTTACAAGATATTTTATATTTTATGTTAAAATGAGCCAGAATAAAATATAAAATATATCCTAAACTGTATTGATTTTTTGATAATCATATATATAACTGTTATACCTGAATACTTTATGCATAGAATAATGAGATAAATCAATTGGTGTAAAGAAAACGCACGCTTATAATGAAATTTTGTAATTTGCAATATACAGTATACATATCCTTTTTGAAAAAACAACTACGTGTCTTCTTTATACCAATCGATTCATTTCATATTAGTCTATGCATAAAAGTATTAAGGTATGTAATCATCAAAAAATTAATACTGTTTACGACCGAGATATTTTATATTTCACATCAAAATGTGCACATCAAAATAAAGTACAAATAAAATATCTTGAACTTTTGGTTTGCCGATATTTTTATCTTAATATTTTTATATAGGTACAGAACAATTAGAGGTATATATTATTATATTAAAAGAATTATATAATTCCATATAAAAAATAGTGATGACTTCTTTGTAATCTTGAAAAAATCGATTTTTGTGAAAATTGGTTTTATCATTATTTGTCCCCCTTTATACGACACAACTTTCGCCTGGTTTTCTAAAATCTTTTTTTTTCAAGATATTTAATATTGAATTCGGTTGGATGCACTAGTGCATGTTAAAGTTATTGTACACTGATTTAATCTGTGTAAAAGTAAAGTACAAATATTCGAACTATAAAATATAGATTTTACTTAATAGCACAATAAAATGCATTAAGGTTTCATAGTTTAATTCGTTTTTATATTTATATTGAATATATATTTTTATGTTAATTTGTGTAAAGCGATTTTAATATGCATCTAATCAAATCCGTTATATGTGTTTCAATTTAAATGCCTTACACTGATTGTGAGTATCCCACTTTAATTGCCTCATGTAAATATCTTAAAAAACACGTAAGATACGAAAAAATGTGTTTATGTTGTATTTTTTTTAGATAGAAATACCAAGAAGATATATAAAGGTCACCTTCACTTTTTCAAAAGCAATTATATGATTTTTTTTACATAATATGATTCCTCTAATTATTCTGCATATAAAAGTATTAACGTAAAGATTTAAAAAAACCAATGATCAGGTAATAATTTTGTACTTTATTCCGGCACACATTGACATAAAATGTTAAATATTTTGTAAATTATTAATTTGTTTATAATTGTACTTCAATATTTTATGAACAGAATAATGAGATGAATCAATTAGTATAAAGAAAATATATAAGTACTTTATAAAAATTAAATATCTTTTTTATAAAGTACCTATATATTTTCTTTATACTATATATAATAATAAAATAATAGTACAGAAAAATCATTTATATTTTCTTCTCATAGAAATCTAAAAATTTTTTCATAATTTTTTATCAACTTTTTAGTACTGCATTTTCTTATTTTTACCAACATGAGAAAATACGGTATTAAAAAATTCTAAAAAAGTTCTCAGAACTTTATGAGAAGAAAAACAATTTTTGTCTTTTACAGTTTTTCTGTAAAGTTGATAATATTTGAGTAAAAAATGATTAAAGACCAATTTTCGGCAATTTTTAGCAATTAATATCTTGTTAACTATTACAAACACTGCAAAATAGTAGAGGACTTTTCTTCTCAGTTTAATCCATTCTACTTCTGTGCGAAAGATTTATCGTTACTTATCAAACACTCTATATATAACCTTCCATTTTTTTGTTATATAACATGGGTATCAATCATGAAACTTTTTCCCTAGGGTGAAAAGTGAAAAGTGAAAAATTTGTCCAAATTAACTTCAATGGTAAAAATTTTCACTTTTCACTTTCTATCCTAGGGATAAAGTTTCATGATCGATACCATGATCACGTGATCGCATGGGGAAATAATGAATAAGAATCAGAAATTGATCGATTTAGCAGACTCAACTGTTGCGTAGCGAATCCGTGAGCGTTCGCTGTTATTGGATGATCTAAAAGAATACACCAATAGCAGCGAGCACTCACGGATCCGCTCTGCAACAGTTGAGTTTCTGAACGCGACCACTGCACAAAGCCCCTAGTCAGCATATACTGTAGGAAAAGTTGGCAGGTCTGTTCAATCGTCCCACCAATCGCCGCGCGTCACAGTCGATGTCCAACCAATCTCGCCGTTACATCTCCCACAATGCATTGCGCGGCAACCGGTGAAGGGGAATGAGGAAATTGCCATGTTTAATTGCCACGACTCCTCGCAACGGGCTCTCTTTTCGTCGTTGGACGCCATAGTGTGCGGTTGGTTCGAGCGAACGTGTAGTGAAGCAGCTTCAATCGAGAGAGACATAGGAGGTCTTTCGTTTACGGCGCAGATACGGCGCTTCGATGGCTGGAACGGAGACTCCAAACGTGAAGTCTGAGGGAGGGAACGCACCAGTTGAAAATAACAGCGAAAATATGCGTGATCGGAACCAAGCCGGTGGCGGCAGCGGAGGAGGCGGCGGCGGGGGGGGCGGAAGCGGCAGCGGCGGAGGTGGAGGTGGCGGTGGCCGTGGAGGTCGTGGTGGCCGAAAAGGCGGTACTCGTTTTTCGGGTGGTCGTGGAGGCGGCGGCGGCAGGAATGATGGGGTAATTTTTTTTTTCTCAATTTTGCGAAATTTTTTACAAGCTGAGACATCGCCTTTTACCCAGCAACGCCGCGCCACGCCGTACCGGCGCCATTACGTTGGCAAGGCGCGGCGCAATTTACTTTCGATCACACGTATCTGCCCTATCCCTCGATCTATCTTTCGATCGTGGATTGCGAAATTTCAGGTGCGTTGCCATATGCGCATGGCGATTGTATAGATAGAACCTCGTGGCGCGTTTTTGATGTAATGAGAAGATCACGCTTCAAAATTTTTCCTACGCTATTCGTTTCCCACGTGGGATTAAAATAGCTTTCGGGAGAATTACTCCGTTTTCAGTGGAACCTCGCGGCGGTTTTCTGGTACGACGAGAGAATACCATGTTCCAAATTCATTTTCCCCATTTGCTTTTCATAGGATGGTACTAAGGTTTCACGCATTGTAAGTTTCATTCTGGCTGTGTTCGATTGAATACTAACATGCTGTAAATTTCAGTTTATTTTCTGCATGTAATGAACAATAAAGACAATGAAACTTGAGGGCAGACCACTTTGCATAATGCATAAAAAAATAAATCAATCGAAATTCTTAGTTATAGTGTGCGTCTAAATTCCAAATTGAACATAATTTTCAGGAAAATTGCTCCCTTTTTAACAGGAACGTAACCGTCAAGATTAAATTGTAAACCGGTGTGACCGGTATTTGTATGTGCCTATGTCGTCTACGATATCGCATTAGCGTTAAAATGGGCAATCGAAAGGATATGAGTCATACGATTTGTTTTTTTGTGGCAGAACTAGTGTACACTTCTGGAACTTAAAGTGAGATAGGTATATGTTTAATGTCAGGCGAAAGCGAGAAAGTTCTAGTGTAGGAATAAAAAAAAATAGACCTGTGAATTCACTTCCACGCCGGTTGAGTAAATACAAGATGGCACCTTTGCATATAAAATGGCGGTAGGCATTCTTAAATTCCTGCGTTGCACGTAAATAAATTTATAAAAATATTTTCTATAGCAAAAATAATGCGCGTTTTGACAAATATGTTAATTTACATATTTAAGTTAAATAATGAATTAAATATGTGATATAAAATAGGACTGAGCTATAAAATAGGACTTAAATTTATTTTAAAATCATTATAGAGCATAAAATGTACAAAATTGTAAGAAAGTAGAGTGTATTTGAGGATATAAAGGTAGTCTGTACAAAGTGATTTAACCCTTAATACACACCTTTGGGTCATTCGTGTCCTATATATTTTTTTTTTTAAATACTAAGAGCGCTTGGTCAAATACCGGCCTCTTTTCTATTCCTAAAAAAAGTTTGGCATCTGGAGAACAAGTTTTGTGTGTTGCCGACCTCCTCAATTCGTGCATATCCTTTAACTGACATAATTCCAAAGTTCACCTCTGGGTTACAAATGAGCCAAAGTGTGTAGAATGTACAATTTTTGTAACTAAAAAATTTTTTTTTTCTTTATTTTTAACTAATTCTCGGTTGTATTGCAGGAATATTTCGCGAATTATTAAAAAAAGAATTTAATCCTAGAACATATTAGCCCTTTATAAACCCAAATTTTGACACCCTTGTGCTAAAGTTGTCAGTAATATTATATATTATGTTGTCTGTAATATTATAAAGAATATTTTCCTAATAAGTTATAAGTTTTTTTTTAACACAATAGCAATAATAAAATGCATTGTTTAAAATGTAAATGCAATATCTTCAATTTATAGCCACTTATGCATATTAAAAAAACATCATTTTCAGGTTACTCAATTTTTTGGACGGCCGACATTTAAACTATTTTTTTTTAATGTTTGGAATGTCAATTTTAAGATATTAAACCGTATTTTTGCTTTAAATATTTTTGTTTCAGAATTTTACATTTTTGTATGAAACAGCATTTTTCTCTTTTTTAACTATATTTAATTATAACAATTCATCTACAATTTGTTATGAATGTACAACTGTACAAATACTTTCTAAAAATGTCAAAATATACGTAAAAATTGTTTAATAATTTTTATATACTTGTAAAAATGATGAAAATTGATCCAGAACACGAATGACTGAACATGTGTAGTAAGGGTTAAATCGGAAATTTATATAAAAATGAGTATTAGATATATATCGTACATATGAAACAATTCAACAAGGTTAATATTATATTTAACACTACAATATTATAGTTTAAATGAAAATGTTCTCATATGTCTTTATTTTTAAAAATATGGTTATTGAAATAATTTTTATCCAGATTCTAAATTGCTACCAAACTTCTTGTATTACTTTCTAATATAATATAGAAATATTTATCTAATTTTGTTAAAAAATACATGTAATACATCCTTAATGGCTTGTATATGAAACAGTTATGATCTTTTTACAGATGAAAATGAGTGATTCCATGGATGGAGGCATGGATAATTCTGAAGGCATGGGTGGCGGAATGGGTGGCGGAATGGGTGGTGGGATGGGTGGTGGAATGGGTGGCGGAATGGGTGGCGGAATGGGTGGCGGCATGGGCGGCATGGGTGGCATGGGTATGGGTCGCGGCGGTGTAATGCGAGGAAGTGGAAGAGGAGGTCGTGGCGGCGGTGACAGAAACATAACCAATAGATCACAAGATGTAAGTTTACATTTTATATTCCTTGTGTCTTTTTCATGGTAGATATTGAAGTACTACTACTGAACTTCACATCATTTTTAGGATCGATTGATGGAACGTGTCATGGCTGTCAGTGGACCTACTCATGAGCTTCCACCACAGGACACTACGGAAAAGAAGTTCAGTGGCCGAAATCGTTTGTACGTTGGAAATTTGACAAACGATGTGACCGAGGAAGAAATACAGACCATGTTCCAAAAATATGGAGAAATATCCGAGCTGTTTGTGAATAAAGAAAAAAGTTTTGCTTTTCTCAGATTGGTAATTATATGAACTATATATAGTTATTTAATAATCAAACAATATTGTTATATCAACATTTCTTTGTGACACTAAGATGATTATATTAATTACCGTTTGATATGAAATGATAAAAATTTCTGGCTGTTTATTTTGAAATGATTACACATTGCTGTTGCTAAGCTATTTTCTGACTTGCAACTTCAAATTAGAAAATGATTGTTCTTATTTTCTGTTCCAGGATTATAAAGCAAATGCTGATACGGCTAAGCGCGAACTAGATGGTTCAATGCGCAAAGGTCGTGCGCTAAAGGTACGCTTTGCTCCTCATTCATCGACTATCAAAGTAAAGAATCTAACGCCTTGGACATCTAATGAACTTCTTGAAAGAGCCTTCAGTGTCTTTGGCGAAATCGAACGTGCGATAGTTAAAGTTGACGACAGAGGTAAAACTACTGGTGAAGGAATAGTTGAGTTTTGCCGGAAACCATCTGCTCAGTTAGCCCTGAGAAAGTGCACAGAGGGTTGTTATTTCATTACGGCGTAAGTTATCACAATTTTTAACAAATTTTTTAACAAATCCCCGATGCCACGCTTGTTTGATGTGTTCTAATCTACAAGTGCCTAATAAAGAATTGTAGGGGTAGAAAAAAAATAGTTTCACTTAGGAAACATAGTTGATTAGTTCCATTAATCGCTGTGTGCTGACACATGAAACACAAGTTTATCATAAAAAACAATATTTATATAAAAAGTGAAAGCATATACAAGTTGCAAAAAGTTTGTATTTCAGTTCCCTTCGACCAGTAGTTGTTGAACCATTTGAACAACAAGATGATGTGGATGGCTATCCTGACAAGAGTTTACCACGCAAAAATCCAGAGTTCTTCAAAGCGCGTGAAATCGGACCACGCTTTGCACAATCAGGTAGTTTCGAACACGAATATGGTACGAGATGGAAGCAATTACATGAATTATACAAGCAGAAAGAAGAAGCACTTAAACGAGAAATGGCAATGGAAGAAGAAAAATTGGAAGCCCAAATGGAATTCGCTCGATATGAACACGAGACGGAGCTTCTGAGAGAACGTGTGTATTCTAATATTAATATATAAAGTACTGTTTGTCTCTCTCTCTCTCTCTCTTTCTTTTATATAAATTATTATAAAAATAAAAATAATCTAATTATTTAAACTCAAGAATTTTTAAAAAAGTAAAAATTGTCAACGGAGAAAGGCTACGGAGTAAAAGCTAGATATTAATTGCTAATACTTAATCTATTTTTAAGATCCAATCGATATAAACATATAATATACAAACGTTTCAACCTTCAAGTCATCTTCAGTTAAAACATCAAAATAAAGATAAAAGGGTCGTAATTCGGTTACATAATCGTAATATTTAAAAATTGGATATGTCGTTTTCAACAAATTTTTTAACAAATCCCCGACGCCACGCTTGTTTGATGTATTCTAATCTACAAGTGCCTAATAAGAATTGTAGGGGTAGAAAAAATATAGTTTCACTTAGGAAACATAGTTGATTATTTCCATTAATCGCTGTGTGCTGACACGTGAAACACAAATTTAGCATAAAAAAAATATTTATATAAAAAGTGAAAACATGAAGTTGAAATAAATTATTATATCTTATTATATTATAGAACTGCGCATGCGCGAGGCGGATCGCGAAAGGCAGAAGAGAGAATGGGAAATGAAAGAGCGACAAGCAGAAGAGCAGAGGACTCGCGAAGAGGAATTAAGACGGCGTCAACAAGAAGAAATGGCGATACGTATCAGAAGACAGGAAGAGGAATTGCATAGACGTCAACAGGAAAACAATTTGTTTATGCAGGTCCGTTGAGTAATAAAAGTGTTTAATTTTAAGATGTTTATTGTTATATATATATTTTTTAAATTCAATATCAGTTATTGTGTACTTATACTCGTATCTTTTCATATTCTAGGAACAAGCAATTCGCAGTGGTGGTGGAGGTGGTGGTGGTGGTGGCGGTGGCGGCGGTGGCGGCGGCGGCAAAAGTTACGATTCTGTCAGTAGCAATGATCGTGATGGATATGGTCAACCTGATGGTAAGTAATGAGTTTTTATTTTATTTAGATAGAAAAAAATGTATAGAATTACAAAGAGCACAATATAACTGCAATTTGTGTATTATACTTATTATAACTATATGCACTAAAAACTTTTAAACTATATTAAATATAATTGTAGCTTTATGCACAAGCTTTAAACTTACCGAGCATTGAACTATAAAACAATTTTTATCATTGTTCATTTTTTTAGCATTGTCATAATTTACGTTTTGTACTTTAACGATATTTTTGTTATTTTTTTACAGGTGGAAGCGGCATGCCAGTGGTAATGTATCTCTTTCATTTACTATTTTCTTCTATAACATGTATTACAGCATTAAGTTTTTTCTCAAAACATTTGACTTTCTTTTCTATGAAAGTTTTCTTTTTTCTTCTTGGGCGATACAATTTTGAAATATATCCTCGTGCGCAAACCTTATTACAATGAACGGAATACCGTGCCATGTATGACGAAATGCAATTATTTCTTATGGTGTACACCACTATAAAATTAAATTAGGAGGGTTGATAAACTCTGATGTTATTCCCAATTGAGCATGCTCTTCAATATCAGCAGAGTTCTAATGTCTGCAAAACCAAGATTATATTCAGTATTTTGTTTTTAATTCAACTCAGTTATGAAATATATATACATTAATAAAAATTTATTTCGGATATTTATAACATGTGGAGGAATCAATGATGTGCATAATATTTAGAATTTAGACAATGAAAAATGACACTTCAATATTGCATGGGGTGTCAATATTAACACTGATTTTAGTTACAAATTTTAAATGATCTCCATTAACTAGCATTGTCGTTTGCAAAGATCTGTAAACGATTATATAGCTATTTCTACTATGTAACTCTTAAGCATATTTCTACTGACGAGATATGCTTTTGTTTTGCATCTAATCTTGATGCACGGATATATTTGAATTTATATGATCTACTCTGTTCTCTTTATGAAGCGAAATCTTCCATCGGAAATACCGATGCCAATAACTACGTTCAGCAAAGAAAATTGATCAGTGAACGCTCAGTGATTCTTAAATATGATTTATTCTTTCCTTTAGTTCTTCGTTGGATCTAAGTGTAGGAATCAATAATTTTAAGAAATCACTGAGTGCTTACTGATCAGTTTTCTCTGCTGATCGCAGCCATTGGCTTCATACTGAAAGTTTTGCTCAAAACCTCCAACTTCTGTGTTATACGTATATAAACCAGCATGCGAATAGCGCAATATTGAAATTTTATCGCAGCGTTGAAGCAAATTAATGAACTGTGATTTTCATAACAAGCATTCTACTTTCTGCTGCAAACATTGCAGAGATATCGGCCATAATAATCATCGTTAGTTGACTTTAATAAACAAATAAATTTTACTTAATAAGTTTTGCTATAAACCGCTTAAATTATATATATATATATATATTAGTAATTATTTATAATTATATATATACATGTCACAGTCAAAGTGTTAACTTTAGTAAATATATACACTTATTAGTCAATGTGTACATTTACGTATAATAAATATATACATTGACTACATCAGACTACAGTAAGTGCATGCATTTATTGAGTTAACACTTCGATTGTAACATATATACGTATTAGAAATTATAAACAGATAATAATTTGTTATAATGTGATATTCTTGATTTTTCGAAATTGACTGTACGATCATGCCACACTTGGCTCTTGGATTGTAATATATATAATTATTATTAAATATATATTACAAGTCTAAACTTTTTATGCCTCCGAAAATAATTATTTACGTCTATAAATGTAACTGCCATATTGGTCTCTCCACGTGATTGCAGACAGGAGACTCTGACATATTATTCTATTGTAGCCTTAAGAACAATTTCATTACTATGGAACATTGACATACGTACGCATTCAATTCGGTATTCAATTTGGTATCATGGCGCTTTTTATAATAAAATATGAAAAAGAATCTAGCAAAGTCTCACAAAATGATATGGTTCCATAGTAATTCTACTGACCAAGAAGTGCCCAACTAGACTTTTCTTCTAAATAACTATACATTAAAGTATTAAACTATTACTTATAAGAATATTTCCAAAGAAATATTTCCAAAGAATATTTCCAAAGACATGCATATATTTTTGCAGAATTTCTAGTTACATTTGAATTTTATTTTTATTCAATTAAAATAAACTTGAACAATTATATCTCTTGATACTTGAAAGCACGTTGTGGATTGCTAATGCTAATGTTGTTAATGCATATGTTGATATATGCTCATTGTATAGGAATGTTTTATGCATAGCACTGATTTGCAATACGATACATCTTTGAAACATTACGAGCACTATAGAGCTTGCTTTGAGACCTTGATCACGCCTCTTTGCTGCTTACGTTTGTGCTCGATGTTTCAAAATTGTATGAAAGTTTAATATCAGTTCTTTACTATTAAGCAATGGTAATTATCTTCGACGTTTTCTTTCTAATGTGCAAAACTGATTTGCTATACGATAAAATGGTTTAACCATTTTTATTCGGAAGTATTTATTTTATGTGTATCTATACTAGGATCTTATCACTCTGGTTATTCACGAAGTAGACTCGCACTCGTAATTTCTACCGAATGTATAATTGTATGACTAATTAAACACACTATTGGGGTTGGGAAATTTAGAAAAAATTCTATTTAGGTCAACACATTATATAGAATATATAGCCGTACGTGTTTGTAATAGATTACATCTACATGCAAATTGAAATATCGACAATTCCCGTTTATTCATTGTGTGATATACAAAATAAAATGAATTTTTCATTCTTACTTTCACATAATATATCCAATATATATATATATATACACATATATATATATATGTACGTTTATATATGAGGAGCAGACTTTCAAAATGCGTTTTGTCCAAAATTTATAATTTTCAGAAAACGAAAAAGAAAGAGCCTCTGCCCACAAGAAAATTATGCACTTTACAGAAAATAACAATATGCCAATCAGTAGGATGTGAAATATTAAATAAAATTGCTAAACGATTGCTAAAAATGTTACAACAAATGCATTTTGTTTGCTTCTAGTTAAAAAAACATAATGCACTTCGAAATGTTTACGTTTTTTCAGCATATAAATTAACAATGAAGAAATGCTTTCTGAATATATCAGAGTAGCTTATAATATGAGTCTTTCAACACTGAACACTACGCCATCTCTAATTTAAAAAAATGAAATTTTAGACAAAATGCATTTTGGAATTCTGCTCTTCATATAATGTATACATTGGTTCCATTATATGTCAAAATAGCAACAATCCCTATATGAATTTATCTTAATTGTACTTCAACTCTAATTTGGAGTTCAATTTCATGATACGGAGTATAATACTCCGCGATTATATTTAATGTTTGAAATGCAATATCCAAGCTTTTATTTTTGAGTTGAAGAATGATTAAGGGAAGTAATAATATGCGTGCGATACAATTATAAAATTTCGCGTAAACAACACACTGATCTGGGCTGTGTTCCAAATTTACTGCCAGCGCTGAAAATCGATAGATTACATTATAGATTTTCAGTACTAATCAATTTTGGAACACAGCTATATTTGCCCACTCATATATAACAAAAATATTGTCTGTCTACATTGGGCATTCTCTTGGTCTGATTATTGTCACAGAACATATCCGCTATAAAAGGGATATATTAATAAGAGCAGTATTTAATGTGCAGTTTGCACTACTATTGATACACAAACAGCAATCTAACATTGTGTTTTCCCCTTTCTTTTCTATGTGATTTGACGAAAATTGACGATGACCTGTGCTGCTGTCAAACATGGATGGTCGCCCTGAATCGTACGGAATGTACTTATGATACATCCGCAATTCACGCGCACACGCGTATCGTGCGTTCCTCTGATGTGAACGACATTCTCATCAATGATTAACAACAAACTCTCGGCTTCCCTATACGATTCGCATTCTCTATGCGTTTCTATAGGACCCAAAGTCATTTATGGACGCATACAATATGGATCGCGGTAGTCGAGGGGGTTATAATGATGATCGTGGGCAAATAATGGATTTAATGGATATGAGGGTTGACATGGGAAATATGGGTGGTGGTCGTGGAGGTAGCGGAGGTAGTGGACGTTGGCAAGGAAATGACCGAAATCGCCCGGATGATTATCCCACCAAACGTCGACGATATTAAATATGCACAATACAAAGTCCTACTTTCTTGATTTAACATAATCGTGCTATGTCCTTCGTTCATTCCTCACTTTTATATCATTTTACCCTTATAGGCCATGGTAGAAGAAGACAGGTGAAATAACTTGAGGGATACGCAGTAGCCGATTTGGTTATAGCCAATCAGAATTTGTCCTAAGAATGCAAAAGCAATAGGGCAAAATTAGATTGGACAGAATTGAATCTAGGACAGACTTTGATTTGCTGGCTAATTGCTCTGAATTGCCTTTATGCGCGTTGTTTCATATGTATTCTTCTACTATGCTTATAGCCGTTAACGAGGAAATGGGGAAGGAGTAGTGTTGAGAGAATATGATGTTGGATATTCAAGTATGATGTTAGACATCGATGGCATTAACATGCTAATTGAGATTCGACTTGCGAGTAGACGATGCATGAGAATTTGGGCTTAAAGTTTAAACATAATGTTTTGATACATTGACGGATTCTGTGTCCTCCAGATGACATTTCTTCTCGAACATGTATTCCGATTGAGAATATCAATAATGATATTGATGTTATTAAAGAAATGATCCTCATTAGTGTAGTGTGTATCTTAGAAATCTGCTTTAAATTGCTGTTTCTATGTTTAGATTCATGAAAAATATCATTAATTGAAAAGGAATATTTAGCACACCCGATATTTGATTGGACACAATTTATTCCGCAGTTTTACTTTCGGCACGAATCATGGTTTAAAAATTATAAATTCGAGGCTTACTTTATAATTAATCCTTAAACGCTATGCTACGGAAACGACACTTAAGTATGTACTCAACCCAATTGGATTGCTTATAACTTTCATAAAAATGAACGTACATATTAAAAATTTTTTTTTAATCGAAACGTCAGACTTTAAGGAACAAAACGATACCAAATAAATGTATGTATCTTTATTAATAAAAGTTATAAGCAATGAAAAAAGCATTGAAAAAAGAAAATTAGATATGCCACACCGAGAGGGATTTTTAAGGGTTAATATGTGTATTCTATATCTACAATATATACATTTGGACGAAGAGTATGGCCATGTTCATAAGTATTAGATAAAATTATCAGTAATTTAGATTTTCATATTACATTTGTATCACAAATATGAGATGCATACATTTACTATGAAGTAAGATTTGAAGTTACAATTTATTTAAAGATCTTGGGAAATGTAAATAACATAAAGAGATATAACGGCATATTTTTTTTTGTTCCATAATATATTTTTGCCTGATTATTATTGCTTTATTAAATCATTTATTCTAAATTTGTATTATTCAAATTCTTTTGATAAAAACCTTACTATCCATTATTTATCATTGAAAGGCTATATTTTATTTTTTTTATTAACTAAAATATATTTTCCCTGCTTATTATCTTATACTCTTTACCTGAATTATAAAACTAATATCAATGTATAAGCGACAAAAAAAATGTCACGACTGAAATTTTATTTTCAATTTAATCAAGATTACCAATATTTGGGTTATTTAAAAAATTAATATGTTATAGTAGGTATGACGAGTATAATTATATATATTACAGAATTATGATATAATCACAATTCTGAATATTTTCAGTAATTAGCTTAGTATATAAGTTATTATACATGATATATACAATATACCACAGTACTACTTAACTATGATATATTCAATACTTTGTAAAGAATCTTAATTTATAGCAGCGTAAAAAAATAAAGGTATTTAATTACCAACTTATATATACCAACTTAATTTCTAATATTAATCAATATTACTTTGTCTTCTATGAATTACATATATAATTCATTTCCTGTGAAATAAAATAAAATATTTGTTGATTTATTCTCCAAAAATATAAATCTAATACAAATAACTATCGTGAGTCCGCAGTTATTGGTGTATAAATTATATATTTATGACCTATGAATTTACAGATTACGGTTTTTACTACTTGAAATATTACACAAAATTTGATGATCTTAATTTTGCTTTCAGTTCAACGATTTTCTATATCCTCTATACATAGGAAAGGTTTGATATATTAATATTCTCAAAAAAAGTTTCTTTAAATATCTTCGGATGAATTATATGATTTATTCCTCTTTAAAAAAGTCTATAATGTTTATTATTGTACTTCACAACTGGGAAAAATTATTAGTTTATAATAGTTATATTAATAGACAAGACAAATAAATTCTTTATGAAAGTAAATACAAATTAAAACGTTCTGTAGAAAATATCGGTAAAATACTTCATGTGATTGAAACCATGTGACTGAAACTTTTTAATGTACAAATTTCCTAATAGATACTATATCTAGAACAGAGCTTCAAATTTTTTTAATGTGTGAAAATCTGAATTTATGTACTTACCCAATTATTATAATCATATCTGAAGTTTCTATTTTTTATATAATAGATGTGAAGGAAGAGAAAAACTTACGTTCTTCATAATGTAAAGATTGCAATATTATGTCCGTGATTCAAAGATCCTGTATTTTAAATAATTATTTGTAATATTGGCAATTTTTTGTCTATTTGATTCTTTAAGAATCATTATGGATAATAAAAAAAAGCCTTTTCCATCTTCAAGAATCTTCCACGTTCCAGTACTTAATAATATTTATTTAGAAACTGAATATAATTAATCAAGAGTCTTTTAATGGAGAGGAGACTACAATCACAAGATAGGCTTACTTACTCGAAACTGCTAATCAATGAACTACCTGTTAACCTAAGGTGAGTAGAATTTGTAAAAGTATTATGCGTAATCTTACTTTAATCTTCGGGTGGGACGTTAAACATTAAGCAAAAATTACAAAGTGATCATTTATCGACTTAATAAAAGTTCTATTAATTATTTTTTAAATTATTATTTTTGTTAGGATTCTCTCTTTCAGAATGTTCTGGAGAGAGAAAAAAGCAGAATTACTTTGTAACGTTTGCTGACATTAATATTGATTGGAATTTATTATAATGTACAACTAATGTTTAAATAGATGACTTTACAATTTGTAATAATTCATCTCCTACTCACTTAAGAAAAAAACATTAAACGTCCTGTTCTAAATAATTATATGATGAATTAAGCACTTATCAGCCTAGAAAACACTTCTTTTCACCTATGACAACCACAATATCTGGATATTTTATGAAAGGGTTGTCTTGGTTTATCTATTGAAATCTAGGCTGTGATGACAGATAATTATTTAAGTAATAAGTATAACAAATTCTTACTTTGTACCACTTTGAGTGGCAAGGAATACTCACGTTGAATCTTTTATATGAATAAACGGTTTTAGTATATAAATAAAATAGCGACGATCGAAAAATATTTTCGTGAAATGAAAAATAGGTATTAAATGTATAAGTGAATGATAGGAAGGAAAGATTTTTTAGTGTAAGGCTATTATGTTACTAATTAAAATACGATGCAGCTTTAAGAATATTATGATAATAAAATGTACGTAGAAACCTAAGAAAGTTCTGAGATTTCAAAAAACGTACATGTTTTTAATACATCATAGTTTTTTAAAATCATATCTTTAAAATAAATAAATATTAAGTAACTCGAAATTGTCAACAATGCAATAAACAAGGGCTAATGAAAGTAATGTATTATTATTAAAAAAGAAATTGTCATAAAAAATACGAAATTTTTGTTATATCTTGAATATCTTTCTGAGATTTTTACGTACTTTTATAATTATTGCTGTTATATGACAATATTAGAAATTAAAAATTCCTCAAATTAAATTATTACAAATTAGAAATTGCTTCGGCTCACATAATTTATAATTATCTTGGAGCACAAATTAGAAATTTGATTCGTTAAATATATGTGATTTATTTCAAATATAATGAATTTTTTTAATTTTTTCTAATTGACAATATAATTTATGATAACAGCATAATATATATATATATATATATTTATAAATGTTCATGTAGTTTCAATTTGTTATATTTGAATATATTGTATATATTTTATGATTTATCATTTGAAATAATTTTATTAGGTTTCTCATTAGATTTCTTAATTTTCTGGATCAAGATGAGACTTTGGAAATCATATATATGTGCCTGTGTGTGCGTGCGTGCGTGCGCGTGCGTGCATTTATAACTTTTTTAAAACATTTATGTAGTGTAAAAAATTTACATCATATATTTTTAATTATACGTCGCTGTTGTATATAACGTAAAATTAAATTAATATACTTCAATCAAATTCTTTTTGTAAAACATAATATAACATTTAACAGCTGTACTTATCAAATAATGCATACTTCATATTTATAGATTGAAATTAATTTTATACGAGGATATCCAATTTTTAAAAATTGGAATCGTTTGAAGATAATATTTTTAATAAACATATATTTTTACGATATGTTATATGTTTTCAGATAAGTGCTGTACCACCAGGTTGATCATCAAGAAAAATGCTCACAGAATATAGGTATATTTTTCATCAATCATAGATAAACTAATTCTTATACTTAACTTTAATAACTTTAAATATATCAGTCTGAGTCTAAATATATAGAAAAGCATGTTGACAATCTAATAATCTAATTGATGTATTAAAAGTTGTTTGTGGTTACATTTTTTATTTTGCAATTCTTAAGTTTGTTTTAATTTTCGTTGTGTATTGTCAAATTTTTTTATTTATAAAACGATGTGAATCGTTTTTTATTTTGAAGATATTTTGTGAAAGAAAACTAAATTAATCATAGCTGGAAAATTTTATTGATACTTATGAATATTTTTGTATGTGCATTTTATAATTTTTTTGCATATTTTTATAGTTTGATACCTTGACACCATTCTGAGGCTTTTGACGTCATTGATGACACCAACTAACAACTTTGTATATCTAAGGTTTCTATAATCTTCAATTTCTCTTTTTGCGTTTACAATTATATCCTTGTTAATTCTTATTGATTTAATTGTGATGATATAGTTTTATAAATGATTCTAATGATTTTAATTATCCTAACGTGTACTGAATAAGTAGTCAAAATTTAATTTGTATGATATATCATTACACATATATTATTAACTCTGAATTTTTTTGTTTCTGTGTTAAAGGAAAGTCCGTAATGAAAAACTAACACAAATTGGTCTGATATATAGAATGCATCAATTATATTTTAAAGGTGAGAATATTATTTGAAATTTTTTAATTAAATGCGTTTAAAGAACGCACGTTAGCATACTAAAAAAATAATGTTACAAATATATCTGCGCTGATGAAATAAGTACATATTATCAAGACTGCAATGATGATATTCTTTCGGGGCTGAAGCCTGATGTAAAAAATTTAACTCCAACGTGTACTTTATTTTTAACTGAAGCAAGTCTTGAATTATATTTTGTTTAGTTAATTAATTGTACTTGTTTTTAACAATATTTTGTATAGAGGATTGAAAGTCGCGCTCTTAAGAGTACTTTTGAATTTTTGTGTTAAAGGAAAATCCATAATGAAGAAGTAGCGCAAATCGATCTGATAAATAGAGCATCAATTATATTTTAAAGGTGAGAATATTATTTGAAATTTTTTAATTAAATCAGCATACTAAAAATATATCTGCGCTGATGAAATAAGTATTATCAAGACTGCAATGATGATATTCTTTTGGGGCTGAAGCCTGATGTAAAAAATCTATTGGGTGGATCCATACGAGGTGTGATCAAAAAGTAAGGTGACTTTTTGAATTTCGCGCGCTCTGTACACTCTAATTTAAAAAATTTTTTTTTGTTGTGTTGGTACACTCGTCACGATCATATGTTCACAGTTTTGACTATATAGCATGTTTTGTTTTTATGTGAGAGGCATAAAGGTTAGACTCGTGTTTGCGTGCTCGGCGATTTTTTGCTTTTGAAAATAATGGAGCAGAGAGTTTGTATTAATTTTTGTGTAAAAAATGGTATTAAGTGTTCAAAAACTCTTGAAATGTTGACAGTGGCGTACGGTGAGTCAACTTTGAGCAAAAAAAATGGTTTATAAATGGTATAAGTTATTCCAAGAGGGCCGAGAAAATGTTAACGATGAACCTCGCTCTGGACGCCCCAGCACGTCAAAAACCGACGAAAATGTTCAGGAAGTGAAAGAAATTGTGTTGAAAAATCGTCGAATCACGATTAGAGAAATAGTTGATGATCTTAACATATCGTTTGGCTCATGCCAATCAATTTTAACGGATGTTTTGGGTATGACACGTGTGTCAGCGAAATTCGTTCCAAAACTGCTTAATTTGGATCAGAAGCAGTGTCGCATGAACATCGCCCAAGACATGTTGAACGACGTCAATGATGATCCTGATCTGCTCAAAAGGGTTATAACTGGTGACGAAACATGGGTATATGGTTATGACGTCGAAACCAAAGCTCAATCATCCCAGTGGAAGAGCCCAGGAGAGCCAAGACCGAAAAAGGCACGCCAAGTTCGTTCGAATGTGAAGGTTTTGCTCACAGTTTTTTTTGATTACCATGGCGTTGTGCATCAAGAATTCCTACCACAAGGTCGTACGGTAAACAAGGAGTATTACCTTGAGGTTATGCGGCGTTTGCGTGAATCAATAAGAAAAAAACGTCCGGAAGTGTGGAAAGAAAATTCATGGATTCTGCACCATGATAATGCACCTGCGCACACGTCGTTACTAGTGAGTAGTTTTTTGGCCAAAAACAATACTATCATCATGCCTCAGCCACCGTATTCACCAGACTTGGCCCCCTGTGACTTTTTCCTCTTCCCAAAATTGAAAAGGCCCATGAAAGGACGAAGATTTGCGACGATTGAGGAGATTAAGGCTGCATCGCTGGAGGAGCTCAAGGCAATACCCAAAAGTGCATTTCAGAAGTGTTTTGACGACTGGAAAAAGCGCTGGCACAAGTGCATTGTATCAGAGGGGGATTATTTTGAAGGGGATAACATAATTTTGGATGAATAAATGAATATTTTTTTATAAAAATGAAAAGTCACCTTACTTTTTGATCACACCTCGTATATTCGTTCGGTTTTTGTTAGTAGTGCAAATTTTTTCCGAATATCTCCGGTTCTGGTTGCCTAATCGGGCAATCCAAATATGTTTTGGAAAGATGACAGTCCGCTCTTTTCATCTGTCAAATTTGGTTTCATTGGCATTAGTTGTTTGTGCTACAGGCCTGTGAACATGTCGGAGAATAAGGTGCATTTTCGGCACGTTTTGCTTTATTACTTCAAGAAAGGCAAGCGAGCTGCGGAGGCACCGAAAGATATGCGGCGTATACGGGGACGATGCCTTAACAGAACGTGCCGCTCAGAAATGGTTTGCCAAATTTCGTTCCGGAGATACGAGTCTTGAAGATGGACCCCGCAGCGGTCGGCCCACCGAGATTGATTCGAATGATATCAAGGCACTGATTGATTGAGCAAGATCGGACGCTAAAGGTGCGAGAGATTGCGGAGACACTTAAAATAGGTTATGGAACCATACAAAGGCATTTGCAACAACTTGGCTACGTGTCCCGCCTCGACGTTTGGGTGCCGCACAAGCTGACCGAGGAGAACCTGACCAACCACATATCCATCTGCAATTCACTTCTGAAGCGGCACGAAAGCGATCCGTTTCTCAAACGAATAGTGACTGGCAACGAAAAGTGGATCATCTACGGCAACATAGTGCGCAGGAGATCGTGAGGAACCGCTGGCGAGCCACCGAATGCCACCCCGAAGGCCGGCCTGCATC